CAAGCAGCAGCAGCAGCCACCAAGCAGCAGCAGCAGCCACCAAGCAGTAGCAGCAGCAGCAGCAGCGGCGGCGGCGGCAGCAGCAGCGGCGGCAGCGGCAGCAGCGGCAGCAGCAGCGGCAGCAGCTACAGCAGCAGCTGCTACCAAGCAGCAGCAGGAGCAGCTACCAAGCAGCAGCTACCAAGCAGCAGCAGCAGCCACCAAGCACTAGCAGCAGCAGCAGCAGCAGCGGCAGCAGCTACAGCAGCAGCAGCTACCAAGCAGCAGCTACCAAGCAGCAAGCAGGCAGCAGCAAGCAGCCAGCAGCAGCTAGCAGCCAGCAGGAAGCAGCAGCAAGCAGCCAGCAGCAGCCAGCAGCAGCAGCAGCAGCAGCAGCACAGTACGAAGCAGAAGCAGCAGGCACAGTACCAAGCAGAAGCAGCAGGTACAGTACCAAGCAGAAGCAGCAGGTACAGTACCAAGCAGAAGCAGCAGGTACAGCACCAAGCAGAAGCAGCAGCAGCAGCAGCAGCAGCAAGCAAGCAGCAGCTGCTACCAAGCAGCAGCCAGCAGCAAGCAGCCAGCAGCAGCAGCAAGCAGCCAGCAGCCAGCAGCAGCAGGCAGCCAGCAGCAAGCAAGCAGCAGCAGGCAGCTAGCAGCAGCAGCAGCAGCTACCAAGCTACCAAGCTACCAAGCAGCAGCAGCTACGAAGCTACCAAGCAGCAGCAGCTACCAAGCTACCAAGCAGCAGCAACTACCAAGCTACCAAGCAGCAGCAGCTACCAAGCAGAAGGAGCAGCTACCAAGCACAAGCAGCAGCTACCAAGCAGAAGCAGCAGCTACCAAGCAGCAGCAGCAGCAGCAGGAGCAACTACCAAGCAGCAGCAGCAGCAGCAGCAAACCACCAAGCAGCAGCTACCAAGCAGCAGCAGTGGTAGCAAACCACCAAGCAACAGCAGCAACAGCAGCAAAAGAGCAGCAACTAAGAAACATACAAACAGGAGCAGCAGCAGCAGCGACAAAGAACAGCAACAGCACGTTGGGAACTGAGAACCGGTCCGGGGGTGAAGGGTGGAGTTCAACCCGCGCGGGGGGAAGGGGAGGAGGAGAGGGGAGGCGAGGAGAGGAGAGGGGAGGGGAGGGGAGGGGAGGGGAGGGACGGGGGGGGGTCTAACCCTGATATATCAGGCGTTAGCACTCAGGTCCTGGGTTCCCACCCTCCTTGCTAAAGCAAGACAGACTCCAGCTAGCTACAGCTAGCTTTCGTGACTAAGCCAGAGACTTGGGACTGAAAGCAAGAAGGAAAACAAGAGCGACCAAATGCAGCAAAGCTACCTTTGGAACATTCAGCTGTCTTAACACTAGCCAACTCTGAATTTCATGTCAAGAATGCAGAATGCCAATCAACAAAAAAAACGCAAAAGGCTCTTTGCTGGTCTTTGTGAGGAACAATGGGCCCTCGGCGGCCTCCTCTTCGCGTGGTTGATCTTGCCTTGGTCTCGTTGGTCATCCGCCGTTGGTCATTGGTGTGGATCCACGATTTGGCGTCTCCGTCTAGGTGGCAAAAAAGACTTTGAGTCCTTTCTTTCTGTTGACCACCAGTCCTTTTTGCGTCATAGATCTCTATCCTGATTATCTTCTAGCTTGTGAACTCTGGCGGTATGATGGAGAAGGAAAAGGGGGACTCAACATGCACATCTCTTGTATATGTTTACTGTTTACTGTTTCCAGGGCAAAAAACAATACACCCAAAGAAAAAAATGTACAAAACACTTGCAAATCAACTTGTGTAGTACCAGTAAAAAAAGGTTATGTTGAGATTGCATGTGCTTACTCTCCTTGATTGAATCTTGGCTGGAGTGAATCGTTTGAGAGGACCCGTTTGGCCCTGGCTTCTGTTGAGCGTCTTCTTCAGCACTCGCTGCGCTAGCGCATTGACCTCCTGCAAAACCATCTCATCATTGGGATTGCTCGAGGCCCACCTCACTAAACGAGACACACACTTCGAGCAGGTGACAGGTGCATATTTTCGCTATACCTGTTTGATCCTTGTGATTCATGTTTTTGTCTTGAGTCTTAACTACTCTTCAACGAGACGATAACAAAGATGAACAAAGCATTAACTTGTTCAGGCTCGGATTACCGTACACTCCGACTCAATCATAGAAGGCAAAGGCTTCAGAATCCTCTTCGCAGGGGTCATGCATGGTCCACTTCCTTGCAGGTGAGTAGGACTTTGATAAGGAATCTTGAGATATCTTGAGTTTCTGAAGTGAATCTATTAATGGTCGAGCCACACATAATGACAGCGAGACAGGAGGATGAGTTGCTCTGCCGCTTTAAGGGGCCTCTCAATCTGCTGACGCTCCTCTTCAGACAACGAAGTCGAGAGCTTAGGCGTTTCCAGCACGTCTGTCAGATCATCCACGGCCTTTAAACTCAAGGTCCCTGGCTGTGCAGCGTGAACGTCAACGTCCAAAAGTGGTTGGAAAAGGCTGTCCCCATCCCCTACGTAACATGCAATTGCACATCATAAAGAATCATAACCATATGATACGTCAACTATATATACTATATACAATAATATGGTAATCTACATGTTAAAGTTACAAACCAAGATCATTATACTATTTACACACATGTGCAGCAACAATTATCATTACATCTGCACAAATACACAACCATGTACATACAGACTTATATATATGACTTATATATATATATATAACACTAGATTGACCTAGGTGATGAGCAAACAAACTATACATGCATGCTATATGTACGTGTGTGTGTGTGTGTCAGTGTAAGCCAAACCTCAACGCATCTTCATCAGCAAACAGCTTCTTCCGCCCATTTCTCCATTTTGCCCACCTGGTGCTTTTCCATCCAATTCCTCCACCTCAATGCCTTTCAGCTTCTCTTTGGTCTGGGTCTTCACCACCAGCTGCGCGAACCTCAAAGATCAGTCTCAAGGCTGTGGAGGGAGTCAACTCATTTCAAGGCTCTGGAGGAACCTCCCCAGGAACGCGAGGAATGTGTATCACTGTAGCACTGTATCAGCATGCATCAGCTACTTATCAGCTATATATTTGTGGGGGCATGCTACTGAGCTACCGCTGCTGGGCCATCTAAATGTTGAAAACTGGAACCCATTGGATCCATTGCCAAGTGTCCCTACTAGAAGGCTAATATTAATATGCTCTTCTCAAATACTAGTAGCACCTGCACGATGTTTGCAGCTCAGGTGGCTCGGTGATCTGATGCTCCCGTTTGGTGCCCAACACGCCGGTGAGCTCGTAGCTGAAGCCCATCGCCTCACAGGCTGCCTGGGAGCAAAGTGGCCACACCTTTAAGCGGCTGTACCAGCAAAGGCGATTGGCGACCTCCACCTTGGCCAGGCGTGCAAACAGGTGAAGAAACCAAAACAGTGCCAGGAAAAAGCACCATCCGACGCTTTGGATGTTTGTTCCCGGTGGAGACATTAGGCTTTGTAAAATGGTTTTGATGTGGGAGGTGTGTCAGGCAGGCACAACTGTTGGGTGGATGAGACACTTGCGTGGGATTTGCTTGGGTTTGAGGTTTTCCACGGCTAGAGTTGAAAGAGGGGGACACAACAGGGGGGGCCGACACACCTGGCAATGCCCCGACCGCTCCCCAGCCGTTCTGGGCTTCCCCCCGTCTCACATCCAAACCAAGCGCAGCCTGAAGTTCTGTTTGAGGCGCAAACCTCCCGCAAACACTCCCCCCCAAAAAAATATAACAATAAGAAACAGCAACTGATACACCCGAGAAAATTAACATGGAACCTGAAAGTGGACCTTTGGAAGACTATTTCCCTCTACAACCCAGTGGTTTTCAGGTTCCATGTTAAGTTTCCTGGGTGTACTCATCCTTGGCCAAACACCATGATGCATGCGCGGATAGCTTCTGGAGCGTTGACCAATGGGTTTGACACGTCCTCCGGTGCATCAAAGACCCCCAGCATCGCTTCCAATGCATCACCCTCCTCAGCTGCCTCCTCTTCAGCAATCACCTGCTGATGAAGCCGCTCTCCAAAGCTGCCCGGAGGGTTGGGTGAACTATCCCTAGGGTGGATGAACCCATCCACAAACATCCTAGCAAGTTGGAAGAATTCTTTTAATCAAGGTTGACGAAGGTTGACCAAATCATCAACAAATCAATCCAAATGCATGAATTGATCACCCGGGGCCTCATGGAAAACGAAGATTCGGCGGCTAACGACGGCCCAAGCACGCCCGGCATGGGGATGGAAGCGAATGTTGCCTCTCCGAAAATGGCCGTGGCAAGCTTTTGTTGTGCCTTGCCGGAGTCCTGGTGTTTCTATTTCATTCCAAACCGTTTTTGATCACATCCGGAACCCGAACAGCGCACTTGTTGTTCTCGCCCTGCGAACGGCACGGGGAGCGCATGTGTCGTGTGCACCTGAGGGCTCCCTTCAATCGGTGGCCGAGCACCCCTCTTGTAGCTTCGCAGCAGTGGTGCGGCGGCATTCTGGAGAGACGCACGTGTCTGGCGATTGAAGAAGCCAGTGGCCAAAGGGCTGGTGCTATCCTAGGTGGCCAAGGGGCGAAGCGAAAAGCACTGGGTGGCAAAGGTGGTCAAAGGCCAGCCGAGCAGACGGACGAAACGTGTAAGTCTTTTTAAGTGTCATTTCATGCACCCATGCTGGGAAGAAGAACGCAGGTTTCTTCGACACCCTGATTTCGAGGTCACATTCTCCAAATATTGAGTTGGATGAATTCTGTTTGAGTTTGGATGAATTCTCCGAACCATACTTGCGGATTGTCAGATGTTGGAAGCAACTCCTGCTAGTCTAACCTGGTGCCGTTTTTGTGCACCCCCCCTTCCCATCCCTTAAGGACGCTACGAACGGAGCAAAGGGCATCGCTACGAACGGAGCAAAGGGCATCGCTACGAACGGAGCAAGGACGCTACTAGTAAGTAGCTCCTGGCCTTACTACTAAGTAACAAGCAGCTACCAGCGTCACAAAGGGCATTTCAATCAACACTGAGCCGAAGGCCTCAGGAAGAATCCCTTCAGCCCAGGCTCGCCCGGTTCGCCCAGGAGGTCTGCCACAGAGGCCTCGTCCACGAGGCAGGTCGAAGCACCCAAAGACCAAGCATTTCGAAGTACTGCAGGTTCTTTCTCATCTGATTGTGTCAAATCGCATGCCTTGATCACTGATTACTAAGAACACTACTTGGAGGAAAACTTGATGAGGTCACCCATCTTGTCAAGGACGCAATCTCAAATGAGAAAGATGTTGTGCATCTGAGCACTTCTTCACTTCTCTAAGGCAAATCCTCGGGCTCATATCATATAATCATATCATTATATATATATATATTGCTTTGACATGCTTTGACTACTCTTCTGGCTGGGCTCCACACAAACAGCCAGCACTGCTATTCTGCGACGTTCCAAGGGGCAAACGTCAAAAATAAACACTCAGCACATCTCAGCACTGCACCACAAATCCCATAAACACTCAGGTTCTTAGACCTGACCTCCCTCCCTCCCTGTCCGCTCGTCCCGGCCTGGAAGAGGTGTGGGCACTGCCCACTTCCACGCTCCGAGGCATCGGCGACGCTGAGCTGCCAGGCGAAGGCACAGCGAGCGCGCCAGAAGGGCACGGTGGCACCGGATCCCACCTGTGCGACGGAGCGCAGGTGGATCGAGGCAGCGGAAAATAGGAGTCATTAATCTTTACATTGAGAAACGGTTAGCAGATGTTAGCAGCACAAGCATACCCTTAGAAGAAGCCTTTGGGCAATACAGCACTCAACAACCACAGGGAATTCTGCCCCGCTCGGCTCTTGCGGAGACGTTTCCACTGTCGGGCAACGGGCTGGCGCTGGAAGTCTTCATTACATCTCCCTTTGCACATGGCAGAAAACCAGTAGGAAACACTGAGTGCCAATTCCCTATAGGTTAGGCAGAATGAAGTTCAATCAACTTTCCAGGCAATGGGGCAAGTATAAGTATAAACGACGTGCCTGAAAGCAAGTATGTTTATCCTCTGCTGCTGTGGTGATTCCAACATTTTGACCAATCCATATATATATATATATCAACCCCATGCTGAACAATGTACATGCAAATCGGTATGCAGCAAATGCTGGAAAGCTTACGCCCCGCCTGATTCTCAGATCCAGCCAGGCCTAGAAGCACAGCCGCCAGCCACAAATACCCCGGGCAAGCAAGAAGTTCATAGACCGCTTCGCCATCGACTTCCAAGGCTGCGAGGATCGCACGATGAGCTTCCTCGTCCTGAGACTCTTTGGACGGACATCGACGGACTCACGTCGAGTCGGATGCCGAGGCTCCACGGCTGAAGGATGAAAGGGCAATCGAGCATCATCGGCCTGCCATAAAAAAGAAACGGGGATGATGACGACACATTAGCCTCACTACCAATCCGGCCGCATGAACATGAAGTGCTTCACCAAGCAGGTCAGATACCCCGTTGTACTGGCGTCCGGGGTCAGTACCGGATAATTTCCAGGGACTGACGGGTTTTTAGCCAAAACCGGTGGATAAATTTGAAGGCCAGAGGGCCAACATAAGCCCCCCCCCAAAAAAAAGTACACAACCAGTGCAGATAGATAATTTTGAGAAGGCCTGAGGTTAGCAAGCTAGACGAATAGGATCATGACGTCCATGGAGCTCGGAAAATCTAACGAGCGGAAATCTAACGAACGTCCAGCGAGCGAGGTTCTATCTTTTCTTTCCTTTTCTACTCCCACTAGCGAGTGGATAAAATTGGGGCGTTTATTCTGGATATTTTTGATGCACTGACCCCATTTTATCCACCCCCAAACAATATTATCCACTCCTTACTTGGGTTGATTTTTTTGGAGGACAGACCCCCTGGATAGGTTGCTGGCAGGCTGGCACACAGATAAAGTCCAGGCACTGACCCCTCCAATTTTATCCACTCAGTACGGCCCCCTATAGGTCAGGTTCAGCTTCAATGATTCTCGGGGTATTATGTTTGGATGAGACCTTGGAAGCGGCGCGGCGACGTGGCTATGGCAATTAATCAGTGCCTAAGAGCTTGGTGTATGTCCAGCCCAACCCGCTTGGGTGCCTCTTCTGGCGGCCCTGTCCAGTTGGCCCTCAAAAAGTGTTGTAAGGAGGCCACTGCCAGTGCTAGCAGTGCATGGCGAAGCAGCGGCGTAGAGCCGAAGCTGTGGCAAACACTGAGCAGATCGGCCTAGGCGACGGGATGCATGTGGCCCCTTTCGATGGTGCCAAATCCTGCAGTCTACCTGAAGGAGGTACGAGTAGACCCACTACACATGCAGGGAAAAAGTGTTTCGTCGATTTCTTCGGTGGCTCCTGGCATCGCTACGAACGGAGCGATCGGACACTACTAGGGGCTCCTGGCCTTACTACGAACGGAGCGATCGGACATTTAGAGGCTCAGGCCAGTCAGTCTGATGGGTCGAAACGGCTCCACACACCCGGTCCATCGCGGGTGAACCGAAACAGTGCGGCAGTTCTGGGAGTCTTTCGCTTGCTCCCGCGGGACCCGCACTCATTACGCCAATCGGCTTGTAGTCTTTCAACACCGCCGGCTGATAGGGCCACTTCCACCTGCGATGATGGACACAGATATGATATGCGTTTGATGCTTGGCTAACATATGGCTTAATTCTCAGCTATGGCCCAACCTGATCTGCTTGCAGCACACACACACACACACACGACCTCAGCAAACATCCACCTCAACCTACGACAATCTTGAGCAAATACCAAAACAAAACCCGTGCTGAGAACACATGTTCCTCATCCGCAGGTGACACGGGGTGACTCTCAAAGGATCTCAAAGGGGAGGGAGTCACAAGGAGTCACAATAGCAACAGGCGCCACCCGGGTTCGCCGGAACCGGAACCGGCACCTGGTGGCGGAGGGAAAGATAGGGAAAGTCATGTGACGTTCATCACGGATCAGCCCCAAAAAAAGGTCCTGGATGAACGAGCATCTGAAAATTTTGGAGAGGCCTAACGACGCCTGACGCATTCCAAACCTTAAAAGATTTTGAGGACATCTGATGCTCGGAGTGCTCGGAACTTGGCCTTGGCGCGCGTGAGGCACTCAGCCATGGGGCGCATTTGCTCCTCCTGCCACATCTCGGCGACCCGCCCGCTGCGCGCAGCGTTGAAGAGCCGCAGGAGTGACTCGGCCTCGGCCTTGACACCAAACGCGGTGGATCTGATGGTGAAGCGCAGGGACTTTTCCATGATTTTCCAAAGGTCGTGGAGGTGGAAAAGGTGTATGATATCAGAGATCGTGGAATGGGCGTCTGTTATATCAACAATCAACACTTTTTAGGGGTAGTTTGGGGGGGCTAACCACCTTCTGAGGATATGGTTGAAGCCGTAGGGACTGATACAGTATCACTATGGAAAGAGTTTTTTCGTCAAGGGCCGCGTCAAGGGGTCACCCTCAGGCGGCATAAGGTTTAGATCAGTTGAGGCGCATGAACCCGGTTCGGTGGCTATCAGTCGGCGAATTCGCTGGCATCCGCGTTTGGGTGTTTGCGCTGTTTCAGTCGGTGCCAACATGTGCCAACCATTCCGACTTGGGGTGTTTGCATGTGTTTGCGCTCCAAAAGCTCCAAACAGTCGCACCCCTGGCCAATCGCGGTTGTACCTTGGTCTCCTGTGGTAGGCCATCCACCTTGGGCAGCACAGTGGGCTCGATGGACAGCAGCGCGTACTCCAGGCGCAGAAGGAAGTGTGACGTCATTGCATCCATGGCGACTGAGAGTAGCAGAGCAGCAGCTAAAAATTCTGAACTGACCTTGTTGGTAAGAACTCTTAAGTCTGTCAATCAACCAGTGATCCCGTTCAAGGACGTAGGTCCCGTGGGTAATGACTTGTGACGTGGATGTATGAACTGATCTCCACTGCAAATGGCATCTCAAATAACATTTGCATACATTTGCGCATGGTTCGAGTGAAGATAGGGCAATGGCGTTGCGAACTGGACGCCCCTGTGAGGGTGTGGGGAGGCAGTTGAGATGGCCGTTCACAACTATATTTGGAAGCCTTGTGCCAGACCATGTGTTCCAGTTATTGCAGCTGGTATGTATGACCACATAAGCCAGGGGCAGCAATGATCCAAACATCCAGTCGCGGCAGTTGTTGAGGTAGTGATTGAAACCAAGTCCTACACTCCGACTCAGCCCTGGCAAGCCTGCTTTCACCCAAAAGCAAGGGATTTTCCATATCGAAGTTTCTTGCAGCAAGGTACCTCTCAGCATCCAGTCATAAAGGATTCTGCACCGTCCCCCACGCCCTCCACAGAAATGTTAAAACCAAATAGGTCATGCTCACGCAAATAGAACATGGAACCATGGCATGGCAATATATGGACACATGTAAAACATCCAACATCCACCATCTTAGAGAAAACCTGTACCTGACATGAAAACGATAAGTAATATATATTTCAGAAGTAAATGCATGAAGGCTGAGCTGGGAGAAAACATGAGAAAACTATTTCGGGACTTCCTGCCCCTCCACCCAGCGCATAGCGGCGCATAGCGGCGCCAGGCTGATGCCAGGCTGAGCTGGAGGCTGTACAAAGAGGACGATCGAACTGGCCTCGAGGGTGGCCAAATCATGCCTATAATGATTACTTTGTCGATATGTCCTCCCTAGACGAAATGAAAGGCACTAAGGCGCCTGGCACTTTACTAACATTGTGATCATCAAACATATTGTCTGTCAAATCTTCTATGCCCTTGGCTCACCGGTACCATCACAAGGAAGTCAAACGAAACCACATCAGCATTTCCCCCTTTCAACATCGTGCGACTACGTGTGAATACGTGGCAGAAAGAAGCGGGATGAGGCCTCCAATCGGTCAAAGAACCTCTCCCCAACGACCCGTGTATGATGGTGGTATACATGACACCCCCGGGCCCCATCGTTTTGTCTTTGCATCTTGGTCATGTCCAAGAAGAAGGCACTGGCGTCCGCAACCACGCCCAACCAATCGGGTCAGTCTTCTTCCCCCAAACCATCCATTGATGGAATAGTTGCTTACATTTAGGGTCATCAATGGGAATTAGTTTTCCCTGGTGGGTGGCCGTGGAACATTAGCTACTTTTCCGGGTCCATGCAAGAATGGCCATTACTCATGAACACCCTGGCACGTCTGGCCACCCTCATGGCCACCCGTTTCGGACTTCCTCCGCCGGTGTCGAAGATGGCGAACTCTCTTCTCTGAGGACCTGGACCCCACCACCGGACAACAGCGCGGAGCCCACGAGCTCCGGGTCCTGAAGCTGCGACTGGAGGGGACGCAACGTGAGTCGGGACATGAGTCGGGACGGGTGGGTGGGTGGGTGAAGGGTATCAAGTATACTGCATGAACGATTGATGAACGCAAATGCACGTAAAGAGATGTATATAAAAAAGAGTGACGAAAGCCCATATCCAAATGACAAAAGTGCAGATGGCATGGCACTTGTAAAGTCCTTTTCTCAACTAACAGTAGACTCTTTTGCCTCAACGGGCCGCAAAGCAAAAGGAACGACAACAGTTGTCGTTCATCACTTGAACAATATATGAGTCAGTGGCGGGTTCAATCATCCCAAGTGGTTGAAGATAAACATATCCAAAACCACCACCTCAAGGAATAAATCACAGCTTCCACCTCTTACCAGGACTCCGCTGGGACAGGCAAGTTCGCCCCACCAGTCATGGAGCAGTTCGCCCATCAAAGGCCCTCACTGAGTCATTCTGAGCGTCACAAACCCACAGGTCCCCACAAATCCCCACAGTTCAGTTCTTTGTTGACTTTGTTTGAAAACGATTAGCCGTTAGGTTTCAACCAGGACTACGGGTCTACCACGTTCAAAGTGTTGGGTCACGCAGGGCCAGTGGCAGCATGCCCCGGGCCTCTGGGCAGTATCTTTGCTGGACTGCCTGAGTGCAATGAACGGGGCTGGCTCTCATCAGTTCATGGCAGTTGAACGGCTATCCTTTGGAGGCAAAAACTGGCCAACACATCTAAGTAAGAGACGCTCAAGCCAGGGGGTCTTTTCAGCCTAGCTTTCGCCGCCTTTTGTGGCTCTTCAGTAAGTTACACAGTTTTACTGTCCAGTTTTATCCAGTTTGGAAAAAGCGCCGCCAGTAGATCTTATCAAACATGATCGGGATTTGCTCGCCAAGCGGACCAGCGAAAAAGCACTCTGAGCACCACAGCTCCTGCCTTTCCCACTTTTTTCCACACCCAACACCTGAGCAAGTCCAAGCGCATGGAGTTGCTGGAAGTTCTGCTGCTGGCAGTCCTGCAGAAGCTGCTGCAGCGTGGTCATCCATAAAGAGCGCTTAGGCCACTCATGACGCCGCTCCACGTGCTGGAAGACCTGTTGGCGGCTGCATGGGGGCAGCCACTCGATGCCCTCCAGGCTGGCCCAGAAGGCCATGGGAAAGTTGGCCAAGGTGTCGGCAGCCAGGTAGAGAAACTCGGCAGCGTCCAGAAAACCCGAGTCCTCGGCACGGTTTTCCGAGTTTCGGAGCAACACGAGAAGCGAACTGAATCGTAGTCGGGTGGGTGGGTGAACATGGGGTGAATTATCAGAACCATGGCAGTGACGACAACAACAGCTGGAAAACAATAATATGAATAATATGTATACTGTTAACCACAGGCAAAAGTAGAAACAGCATCAGTAGCAACAACATAACAAATCAGCAAGAACAACCAAAACGAAACAAAAATCAACAAACCCAAAACATTGATAAGTAATGCACAACAAAACAACACGACTCAAACGATATTAACAACCACAGCAACAACATGCACATGCAACAACAACATTGTCAACGACAAACAACAAGTTAAACACCAGCACAAACACATAGTAAATGTGTGTTGCTGGAGAAGGACGCTGAGCATCCCACTTGGTCAATGACCCCTGTTCAATTAAGGCCGTGCACACGGACTTGCAAAGACTGGGCAGCTGGTTCACGAGCACGTCTGTGACAGCCTGGATGTCAGTGGCACTTCTTGGCAGAAGCAATGTGAGCCACCGCAGCAGAACATCTGCTGCAAATAGTGGCAAAGTGATGCAAAGCAGTTTCAAGAGCTTATCAACAAGAGTCAAATTGGCCAACAAGCTTTTACGCAGCAAGCCGCCACATGCCTGCCCACGTGCCAGTGCCAAAGCCCTAGTCCACAAAGAATAGAGAGCCTTCACCACAGCGGGGTCTTGCAAGGCTTCTGGCAGTGTCATGGCAAGATCAGTGATCACATGAATGGTTTGCACTAAAGCGTTCACGGCTGGTGGCTCTTCCAGAGACGTACCCGGCAAACTTCGAAGCACCTGCTCCAAGGTGTGCAAGCAGGTCTCAAGCCCATGTGCCCCCCGCTCCCGCGCACTCTGCATCAGCAATGTGAGGGCTTCCTGCAGCAAGCACGGTACCGCGCATGCGGCTGAAATCACCTCCATCGCAGAAGCCAAAGGTTGTAGCCGGCCTGAAGCAGTGTCAAAGGAGCAGGGCACCCGAAGCATTGAGAGCTCCAAGAATCGCCAATGGGCACGACAAAGACTCAGGGGCGCACTGAGTGTCTGCTCACACTGAGCGTCTGCCGATGCCTTCAGCACCGAGTGCATGATGGCTAGGATCATTCTCAAGGCTAACCAGCTCATGGAGGTGTCCGCCTGAACGCTCCCGCAAAGCCGAGGAAGCACCTCAGGGGTCCCCACTCAAAAAAAAGAAGAAAGCATTGATTACCAGGCATGGGCTAGTAAAGGTGAAGCACCTCCTCTCTTCAAGCAAACAGCGCCAAAGAATCCCAAAGAGCCCGAATCATTGCTGAAAGCCCCTGGAATCCATGGAAGGAATCTATATATAGAGTCTATAGTTGGCAATTGGCAAGATCAACATTCTATTACTGTACTTCATGTTGCATCGTTTTACCATATGTTAATATATGTGGCATTCTTTTGGCAGCACCCCGTTTCACCCAAAATGGCCTCCCGGCTCAACGCTGAGCACAGTCGATCCAGGTCAGGGCGCATCACATGACCCAACGCCTGCAAGAGTCGTCCTTTGGCTTCTGCGCTGTATGGGTGGAGAGAGCTTGGCACCTGGCACGGTTTGTTGAATCAACTGCTGATAGGGACCTGTAAGGAAACGAAAGTAAATATGACCGGTGCTGTATGTTAACCTAGTGAAAGAAAAAAAAAAACGAACCACACGCACGCAAGGCACATCTAGCACTGACTTGAGCTTTTTGGTCATCACTCAGTTTACACCTCGCCAAAGCCTCTTGATTAACCAAGAAAGCACCTTGGATTCTCATTCCTCACCTGCAAAGCCAAGCGCAAGACCTTCTCCGCCAGCGAGTCCCGACCTTGCGCGGTCGTTGGGAGCCGCCGGCACGTCCTCTCCAGGCTCGAGGCCCATGGGGACTCCACGACCTCGCGCGGCCAAGCGCGCCGGTGTTCGGTTCGGTGCGGAGGCAGCTCACTTTCGGAACAGTCTCTCGAACTCAGGCCATCGCACACCCCCGAATCTATGGACCTCGAATATCCCATGGGGAGTTGGACATGTTTGGACAAGGATCTGTTGAAATTCTGTCGCGTGAGTATTTATAGGCGGCCGGAGTTGACCTCCATCAGATCGAGAAAACTCTTGAAACCAGTGACCAGTACAGGAAACAGGTGCGAATCACATGGAATCACCTGCAATTGGAGATCTTGACAATCGCCCCCTGGAATTGCCAAATCACATGAAATGAGAGGAATCAATGGGAATCGGCCTGAGTTTGTTGCTTGGAGCATGCTTAGTGGGGCACCCCCTGAAACTACATGGAACCTGAATGTGACACCATAAATGACATAACAATACTGGTGGTTGGTTTTCGTGTAGTCCTTTGCCCATCCGTTTCCGGGTTTCGCACTCTTCCCCATTTCCCAGTCCTCCAAGAGCTCGCAGGGACCTTCAGGTGGCCGCTCCAAGATCCACTCCGCCAAGCGCAAGGACAGCTCCGGAGGGCCCGTCGAAGCTAAACAACTGGCCTCCACGGTGTTTGGTCTTTCCACCATAAATCGAAGTCATGTATCATCGAGATCGCCGAGATTTCTAGAATCATTGAGAAATTGAAACATCAATTTCACAAAGGGTGCGCTTTTATTGGAGGAATTACCTAAACGCAACACCAAATAGCTATCCTTTTACATAAAGCAGCATTGTCGACCAGGATCTTTGGGGTTCCATTTTGCTCAGCTAAAAAGCGTCGCAGGGTTGACTATGGCAAGCATGAGTGCAAAATCATCAACAATCTGTTGTGCTGCTTTTAACGACTCTCCAGAATCACTGAGTGAGTATGCTCTGACTTTTGTGGTCCTCTAACTCTAATCTCATCGATCAATGTGAAAAAATAAATTATTTCCTGTCTGGTACTATACCCTTTCTTGTTATTAATGACTATATTAATGGGTAGCACGGTAGCACTTTCGCATGTCCGATTTCAGGGCATCCAGCATCGACCACTCGGAGTTCACAAGCCGAGCTTCCCCGGCCTTCGAAGCGGGTTAGCGGGTTTATACCGGCCTGCATCCAGACCAGGGAACGCCAGGCAGGCGAGAAGCTATCGAGTGGCAAAGCCAGCAGCAATCCAGCTGCGGGGGGCGCCTTCCCAGCTGGCTGCCAGTGTGTAGGAGAACCAAAGGACCACCTCGGCCTCCTGAAAGATTGAACAACTATGAAAAACTTAGACTTAGATGGAAGTTGGAAGGAAGGCAACATATAGGAGGATTGAAGATCTTTGGGGTTGTCAACCTGACAGTTGTCATTTTCATCATTTCGGGTTGATTTCATGAGCTCAGTTCAGTGAACACCAAGTTCCAAATCAACGATCCAAAGTCAATGATGCTCCAGAACACCCAACCAATTGTGAGACCCAAAAATGCTCACAGACTTACAATTTAGACATATAGACTATAGAGCCAATAATAGCAGTCTTCTGTTCAGTGAAGCCCTTTGGGTCCCAAGTCCACCTGAATAAGTTGCAAAGGTCCTCCAGCTGGGCTTGGCCTCCCCTGAAGAACATATAGACAAATCGATAGCGTGTCCAGATGTCTCCAGTTTCCCATGTCTCCTGGGCCAAGGAATCGCTCGTGGTCACATGCCTAAGCTTCTGCGCCAAGAGCTCCAGCGGCGCCCAGGTGGCGGAATGCCAGGCCATCGAATCGCCCACCAGCCGGGCCCACACGGCGACAGCTTTCTGTGCAGCGGCGCGTGGCTCGGTCGGAGCGAGGGCGGCCTCCACTGAAGGAAGCCTCAAGGACCGTAAAAGCTCCTGCCCAACAGGAGCTTAGAGAAAGGTGTGGTGCGACTACGGATTCTGCTGAAGAAGGAGCGATTCGGAAATGCCTAAGGAATACGTGGGATTCGTGGGCATGCTCATCATCCATGTTCCGTCATTTGATCCGATTTGATGCCATTCATCCTCATCATTGTCCGACATGGCACACTGGTCGTCTAACCTCATCGGGCCCGTCTCCTGCGCCAGGAGCCCAAACATCTCTGGCAAAATGGGTGATGTCAAAGCCTCCTCATGTGGCCACCACTCAGCATGGCATCCATAGCCCCTCTCAGCTTCGTCTTCCCACTCCATGGTTCCCTCGAGCACCGTGGCCGCGAAGCTTTGCCACGCTCCCAAGGCTGCGTCTGCATCACTGGAATTCACAAAGCCTTGGAGGTTTCAAGGCTGCCAAGGCACCAGCTACAGGGAACACGCAAGAAATTGCGGGCCCCTTGTCAAACAAACCGCAAACACATATCCAAAGCGAAAAGTTAAACCGCCACAACAACCTTTCTCAGGCAGATGGAAGATCAAGGACAGGACGTGTGACAGAAATGGCTGCTGAGTGGCATGTAGTTACCGCATGGTACCACCACAGTAAGGAACCAGCACTTTCACGCAGGAATGTCGAAAGCAACTCGTGTGGTGAAAAAGAAAATCCGATGTGGCCTGGCCCCACGGTCCAAATCAGCGGGTGGGATGCAGCTGGTGGATCAGCAATTTGGAGAATGGAAGCTGTTGGCACGCGTGCCACCAACACAAGCAAGCACCTCTTTTTAGAACTGTTAATGTTGGATCTCGATTAGTAAAGGGGTCTTCTATAATGCTAAAATTTTCCAAATATATTCAGACCCCCATGTTTGAAAAATGGATCCTGAATAATGCTAATTTGTTTTGGGGTCCCTAAATGTTTAAATTGGAAACCAAGGGTTGGAATTCCTTCTGAGGCCAATGATTATGATTCATTAGCTGATATAGCTTTCTCTAGGTTTCTTCAAAACTGACAGCTGACCAAAACCACTAATTCCTAATTAAACCCTCTATAAAACATTGCTCCTAAACAAATTTTCATTGTAGTAGACCAGGAAGGCACCTGATCCTCAATAATCGATTTGTTTTTGGGTTCTCAATTGTGAAAAGTTTTTTCCACTGGAAAAAGCTGCTCATGGAATCTTCCTTTACTTAGGAAGCCATGGAAGCTCAGGAAGAAGCTGAAAGCTTGGGGCTTCTCTTGAGCTGAAGATCTGAGGCTGCAAAGCAAAAGGATTGCTGAGAACAATTACAAAGCACCTGAGAAAGGAAGCTGAATACAATCTATGAAAGGAAAATGAATACTACAATCAATTACAAAAAGGAATTCTCACAGGAATCCAGACTTGTTTTGGTGATAATTGATTATAGAAGGTCTCCTGTTTGTTTGAGGGGGGGGCCCTCTACTAATCAGGATCGCACATTAGGCCACTTACCTGCCAGGAATCATCGCTATACAACCCTGCCACTGCTGCACTCCTGCAAACATCACATCTCTTTGGCTACCAGCACGTGCTTGTTCCGGGTCGTCCATTCTATTGCAGGTGCTCGCATCCCCCTTCCCCATCCATAAATCCAAGACGCTTAAGGTGGCCACAGCAAGATCCTGGAGGTTTAAGGCATCTGGCACTTCCAAACATGCCCGTGGCCAGCGATCCGCAGCCAAATCGACCAAGACTGGCAGCAAAGGCACCAAGCGAGGTTGGCGAGCCGACAGGGGCAATAAGAGATCCAGCAGGGGACGCCTTAGTAACACGACCCGGGGGTCCACTGGGGAGATGTACGAACACTTTGCTGTACAAACCGTTTGGTTCCATGATCGTCCCTAGCCCGAGAGGAGGGGAACACCTTTTCAATCTACTGTAAACCCTTTCGCTTGAGTTCTGAATCGCGCCGACTAAAACAAGACCCACAAAGCAAGGTTGAACATGTGTATTTTTTGAGGTCCAAGGCGCAACAAGGGCCAAACCTGGGCATCATACAAAGGCCATCTCGCCAATTGCTGCGCCACCTCGCAAGCCTCTTCAGGAAAGGCCTGAGCAAGCATCAGCAGTTTCACCTTGCAGGGTTTCGGTTCGGTCCGAACTGGATTCCTCCAAGATTGAATTGGTCACACTGGGCGCCGGAAGCGTCTACTCTACTCTAAACCCACCCAAACGTGGTGTTACCGCTACAGTAGTAATGGAGGAACACATATTACCAGGGCCTCTCTATCTCTTTCTGTCTTCTCTCTATCGCTCTATCTCTCTATCTATCTTTCTTTCTATCTACCTTTTATCTATCAATCTATCTACCTACCTATCATATCTATCAAATGTACCTAATCTATCTATTTTTTATGTATGTATATCTACTGAAGTTCTATCTCGATCTTTGTCTATCTCTCTATCTCTCTATCTATCCATTAGATCTATATCTGTCATTACCGACCTTTCTTTCTATACTTCTTTGACAGCGCAGGCAACCTGGCCTGCTAGTTCGCCGCCGGCCGGACGGCCACCCAGGTAACTATAGAGGCCGGCCGGCCGGCCATCTAGTAGTAGTAGTATAGGAGGAGTAGTAGTAGTAGTCGTAGTAGTTGTGGTTGACTCGGCTAGCGGTTTCTTCCGCGGCCGGCCGGCCGGCCCGCGCCGGAATCGGCCGGCCGGCGGGCTGGTACGCTATCGGCCAGCCGGCGGGCGGTGTACACCGTTGCTACGATAGATGCTAGCTGCTAGTGTCTATACTTAGCTATGTACTTAGCTCAGCACTTAGCCGATCTAGCTAAGTCCTTATCAAGTGGTACTTAAATTATGTATTTGCACTATTTTCCTAACCTATAGTTTAGCTAACTAGATACTAAATAGTCTAAGTTCTATGAGTAGTTACGTGTAGCGGAATCATTCAGTGGTGACCTGGGGCACTTGGTGTCAACCGAACTGCGTTCTATTGGAACAATCAATATAGGCTCGGTTCCGGCAGCAGGTGGTTTACACAATACATGTGGCTCGAAACAAAAACGACAAAACACCTTCTTCTCTCTTGTTTCGTGTTTGACCAGCTACTTCTTGCAAACGGGGAGCTGTAAAGACGGTTTTGCTGCAAACTCTCTTTAGAGGGAGTGGTTCCTCGAGATATTCAGGCACTGGCTGTGAACTTTGTCGACCACCGCATGCACACACCACGCACTTGAAAGCAAAGTTCGATCTGTTTTCCCGGGCTGGTGGCGGAGGTGGTGTTGCATTTGGGTCAACGAAGGTGCAAACAGGAAGGAAAAATAACGTGTGAAAGCAAGGATTGAATCTGAGGAGTATGTGTGGGTGATGCATGTTCTATAGCACTAGAGCTTTAAGTGTTATAAAAGGAAGAACAACCATATCTGCATCAACCCTTCCTTTGATCCTCTCATGACCAAAGTTCATCCAGCTCCGCGGCCCAGGAGGTGGGGTGGACGAAAGAGCTGTTTACGTGGACAGGGTGGGCTTAGCGGTTTTGTTCTGGAGTTGCGAGACGGAATATTGTGTCGCGATGAACCCCACGCGGTTGGATGGCCTATCCCCCACACTGTTCGCACAACAGCGACAAAGAACCCCTTTCGATATGAATCAGCCACAGTTCCTTGCTCTTCCAGGCAAGATGCTTCTGGGGGATGAGGGCGCATCTCGGTGAATGCGGCCGACTGCTCCAAGCCTTGACATTAAGTATACTGTCCAGCCCAAGGTACCTCAAACGCCATGAGATCGACCATGCAAGCCTGACAGATGACCCTCGAGCGACGCGGCTCTCAAATCTAGGGCCCGACCCGCCGCACCCAGGAGGTCACCAACACATTTCAGGCGCACACTTCCTGTATAACGCGCGAGGACCAAAAACCTTCCCGTAATATGGCGGGTGGAATGTCACGCGCGCAGCCATCGCTGTTGAGAAATCGATCAATATTGTCACTATATAGCTGGCAAGAACCCTACGAATTGGTGCTTCACGTGCGTTAAAGTCGTAACAAGTCTTTTCGAGCCGGCCGCTTGCTGGTAGCGGCAACAAATCCAGTGACACCTTGGGACTTCCGTTCCGGAGGCCGAGAGGTCACTCCTCAGCGACCTCATCTCCAACTTCAGCTGGATCATGGCAAAGTGCTGCCAAAGCATTCGGGCCGCGCTCAACCCATCCTTCTCTGGGCTCTGCTGCGTCGCAAAAAAGTATAGCTATGACCTCAAAGTATCGGTGTGTAAAGTTCGTCACTGCACGTGGTATCATCCCTGCCAATATCGACCAGAATCGCTCATCGGCGACTGTGCTGGAGTGTACCGGCATAGCTTCGCTCTGCGTACACCGAGTGCGACAGACCTTCACGCCCACAGCCCTTCCAGTCCAAGAGGCCGGAGGGTGCGTTTCAGGTGGAGAGAACGTTTTTTGGTTCATGGCTTTTCGCTGGCAAAATGTTTCAGCGCTGACTGCAGGGAAGACTACTAACTTAGCGTCAACCGCACACGATCACCGAAACCCTGGCTAGTCCTTTTGCGTTTTTGAAATTGTATTGATTATAGTTAATCATATTTAAGCATGAAATTGTCACAAACAAGATCTAAAATGATTAGGAACTTCTCAAGCAAGAGTAAACATGACACAAATATGATTTATAAATGAGTTTGAACAACATTTCCCAGAGTAAGAGTATGAGTGAACCAAATGTCTTTTCACGAGTAAGTCCACGAGTGGAGCCACGAGTGAAGTTGAAGTGAACTTGCAAACAAAATGAAAGTTCAACATTTCCTTTTACGATAAGTTGACGAGTCGAGCGACATGTCAGGGATTGCAACAAGTTACTTGTTACAATCCCTGACACCCCTTCTGCTGGCCTCGTTGAAAGTGTTTGAAGCTAGGAAGTTTTGGCTGAAGAGCTCTGTGCTGGCAGGGATTGTGACAAAGTAAGGTTTTTGAAACTAGTCAAGTATCGGCTGAAGGCATTGAGTATTCTTTTTGAAAGTAGTCAAGTTTTGGCTGTGCTGGCAGGGATTGTAAGATTTTTTGAATAGTAACAAGTATTTTTTTTGCTGGGCGCTGTGCTGGCAGGGATTGTTACTGTAAGATTTTTGAATCGCAAATGAATTGATCTCCAATTCTCGCATCTCGTGAAATCTTACTTGCACAGCGCCCTTCAGCAACAGTAACTAAGAATGCAAATTTTTTGACAGTCAGCTTGCATTTAGTTCAAACTTAGTTCTTGCGCCTACCATGTCAAGTGACCCATGATTCAATGAATGTCAGTCAGTGAAGGTTCCACCGCCCAAAGGTTTAGTTGGTTATAAGACTCACAACTTGTAACATGTAACATGTTCTTCTAAAACAAATTGAAGTAGCAATAGTAGTAACTTAGTAGTATAGTCTCAAACCCTAAAAAACACTAAGAGCAGAATGAGGATGACAATGAGATGCTGACTTTCAAACAGAGTAGATTAAAGCATTTACTTGTCAGCTACAAACACACTTTTTGCATTTTCAAATTTTTTAAAATCATTTTTGCACTTTTAAAGCAAAAAGGTGCACAAACAAAATTTTATATTCAAATAAGATTAAACATGGTTCGGAGAAGGGTGCCCATCTGGAGGGTCAACTTTGGTTTGGGGAAACAAGCCTCCAAGCCTCCCTCTGCCACACCTACGTCGACACGGGCCCTGTAAATGGTTTAATTATGTATTTAGGATACAAAGAACCAATAAGAAACCTTTGATGCACGAATCGATTTCAAAAAACAAGCATGTAAACCATCCTGAAAAACACATCCATCTGAGTTTGGGCGGCAGGTACCGTGGCCGGTAATCTTCCGCAAAATTCCCTGCTTGTACCGCCACAAGGGGACGGGGCTTCCCATACCATTTTCTTATCCGCTTCAACTCCGTAGAAATCTCATGCGAGGAAGTAAAGTTGCAGTTGCCACCATCTCGCACCTGCACTCCAAAGCGAGCACGCAATCTTCCCAGGGTCCGCAAAGGTGTCCTCGCCTTGGGCAAGTTCATCCACGTGACAGATTTCACTACTTCGGGCCGGCGGTGCTGCTGGCAGCAGCCTCATTCGCCTCCAATTCGTTGGAACCCGTACAGAAGCCAGATTAGAAACTTCTGGTTGGTCAGCCACACCCGCCTGCTTCTCCTTCTCAGGAGCGCTGAGACGTGTCAGAGCAGCACTGTAGTCAGCCTTGCAGCAGTTCATGGCTGTCTGGTGACTGGGCTGGTAAGAATTTTAAGACTCAGCAAAATTGTGGAATGGATGCGCAGCTTGCACAAAAAGGCTGAAGTGGCATCAGTTTTTGGGCTGGACGATTCACACTGCACCAAACCATCTGGCCAAACCTGCACAGGCTGGTGATCTCAAGTGTGTGGCTCTTCTACGCCTGATGGACGCTGATCAAAGACCAAACGTTAACCGTTAACATTCCCAACCTTGACACACGGCGCTCGTTCTGTTATCCTCAAAACCAAACACTGACTGCCTACAGATTCTTTCAATCCTGCCTGGGCGTACACGTCAGCAAGCTGAAGCCTATGGCCGGCGTAGCCGTCAGTGAAGTGATGCCCGCGCGCAGGTGGGCATCCGGCACTTCTTGGAGCAAAGGACGCAAATTTCTCAAGTCTGCTAAGTATGTCTTCACTAGGTGATGCGGTTGGAGGAGTCAGCGCAGTGCCATCCGTCCCGCAACACGCATGGACACAGGACCAAGGCCTGCGATTCGGCCATTCGATTTTAATGCAATTTTGTAATTTCCGTCGCCCCGCACAATGCTAGCAGAGTATGGCAGGCGCTCCAACTTCAACTTCATTGGGCAGCAAGGTGTGCATGGCTGCCATGGCCATACGACGCAGAACTGCTGCAAAGGGGGCGCTGCAACCGCCAGTCAGCTCTGGGGTTGGCCATCAAGGACACAGACGCGTAGGCGGCAACGTCACGCCGCAGCTCTCTTCCATTCCATTGCGTATAGAACCTGTGCAAGGCATAGCGGCATAGAGCAAAAAATTCTTGGTCGTGAGGATTGCCGCGCGCTGCTTCGCCGGCTGGTGTACTAGAAGCTTCTCCTGCGCAGACTCAGCCAGGGCGTCATTGATGTCCTTGTAAGTGACCGGAAACTGCAAACACTGCGCCTGATGCTTGCAAGTGCGCAGCTACGTATGTCTACCAGCCTGGGCAGTGGCAGGTCCAAAATCACCTTACTGGGTTGGGACTGTCTGTCCTTGGTAAGACTTTGTGACCGGGGCGTTCCTTCTCGTGCGCCAGGGCCGCAGTAGGCTTGATGGCAATGGCCTTGGGCCAACCGGCAGAGACAACTGCCAAATGCTCTTCTTCTGCATCATGGAGCCCGTAGCGGGACAGCTTCATGGATCTGCTGCACCTGCAACCAGGATTCAGCAGTATGGTTTGCGTGTGTCTGTGGGAGAATGTGTATGGTGGCCTGGTTGGAGCATCACGACACGTCTTCGCGTGTTCGAGACTGAAAGGTATGCTCTTCCATCTAACTTTGCAGGCTTGGAGGCTTCTGACTGCAAGTCGTCCTTGGAGACGTGGCTGACTCAAAACTTGCTGGACGTGGAGGCCATGCCTGAGTGCATCAAATGGGGTTGTGTGTGTGGGTGCGCTGATGGAACTCTCGGTTGGCGCAATGCCATAGAGCACCATGACCGCTCAGGCACTGTATCAAGCGAAGTGACTAACACATGTGAGATTGATTCCGAGAAGCAGAGTGGCATCCACTGCGCATCCCAGATATATGCATATATTTGGCGAGCTGTCGGTTTTGCCAAATGGACCCACCAATGGGCCCACCCTCACCCGCCAGGCCTTGGCATAGCAGGTCGCACATCAACTCTCCTGGCAGGAGGAAACCATATTCCACTGCTGGGGGTTGGACGTAAAGAGATTACAGGTTTGAATGTACAGGCTTCCGTTTGACCTTTACTTTGTGTATAACGATCATGAAAAGTATACAAGGGAAACTTGCCACTCCTGGGAAACTTGCGGATTCTCAGTTTCATTTCCTGGCGCGTACTACGGTCCCGACTTGTGGAAGGTTAGCAAAGCCGTCGACCAAGGCACATCTACCGACATTATTCGACTAGCGCAGACCCCAAAAGGTGGCGGTGGTAGTAGTAGTAGTAGTTGTAGTAGTAGTAGTGGTAGCAGTAGTAGTAGTAGTAATAATAGTAGTAGTAATCTTCAGACAAATCTTCAACGAACACATTACTCCTTCTGGCCCTGATGGCCCGGTATGCATGTGTGAATGTGCGTATGTCCAGCGCGCGCTCATGTTACGTCCTTAGCGCCGCACGATGGATTCACCGACCGGGTTGTATACGCAGTTACAGCCGTAGAACCAACCCTCACCACCTAGTAGTTCCCTCCCTGCAGAGCATCTGCATATACCGTGAGACTTAAAATAGCTGCATTTGTAGGGGTGCTACAAGTACATCTGCAGCTTGTAGGTGAGTTTTCCAGTTGCTGCCACGGACGTGTTGATACATTTGAGACTTAAGAATCTGCGTTTGTAGGTATGCTACAAGTACATCTGCAGCTTGCAGGCGTGGTTTTCTAGAGCTGCTGCTGTGCAGGTGGTAAGACAATTGAGACTTATATAGCTGCATTACAGATGTGCTACTAGGTGTGATTTTC